TGAGTCCAAAGAGACTAAATGAGGTAAAACGTATTATTTTCAAATTCAATGTTCTAATGAAAAACAATTAGACTAACACAGTCCTGCAGGGGGCGTAACAGATATGATGTGACGTACAACTACTGACAGGATCACAGACCGAAGCACAGTGGCCACGCAAAATGACTCGATGGCCAGGATCTGGCCTCCGGGCCTTCAGTTTGACACACCTGTCTTAGCCTCAGTCTCCTGTCCCCTCCGAGCGTCCACCGTGACCTTGTGGGGCCAATGTTTGACCTCTGGAGTTCATCCACCGTGACCTTGTAGATGAACTCCAGAGGTCAAACATTATGACCTCTGGAGGTCATTCCCACAGCTGTGCTCATCATTTCCAGATGAACTCCATTAAACACAGTCTGACTGTGAATACAGTTCATACACTTCTTCCTCGTCTTCTTCCTCGTCTTCTTCTTCCTCGTCTTCTTCCTCGTCTTCTTCTTCCTCTCTTCTTCGTTCATACACTTCTTCCTCGTCTTCTTCCTCGTCTTCTTCTTCCTCGTCTTCTTCTTCTTCTTCATCATCTTCATCTTCCTCGTCTTCTTCATCATCTTCATCTTCAGCCTCTTCAGAGTCAGAGTCCAGGTGTGATGAAGATCGACTTCCTCTGTTTTCTGACGAGCTGCTCGTGTTCAGCTGTAACATCTGTGAATATTCCAGCGACAGAGAAGTTGTTCCAGGTTTAAGACGTTGAAGTTTTTTGGACCTGAACCTTCACTTTGCTGAGGTTTCAGGAGACACAGCATCTGACGTCTGCCTAACGAGCTGCACTGTCCCGTCACCGCGACAGCCACCGCGCACGTAGACCATGACAGGGCATCAAACTGCATAATGACCCGTTAGTCCTGGTGGATGAAGACTGTTACTGCTGCTGTTACTGCTGCTGCTGCTGTTACTGCTGCTGCTGATGTTACTGCTGCTGCTGCTGTTACTGCTGCTGCTGATGTTACTGCTGCTGCTGCTGTTACTGCTGCTGCTGATGTTACTGCTGCTGCTGATGTTACTGCTGCTGCTGATGTTACTGCTGCTGCTGCTGTTACTGCTGCTGCTGTTGCTGTTACTGCTGCTGCTGTTACTGCTGTTACTGCTGCTGTTACTGCTGCTGCTGTTACTCCTGCTGCTGTTACTGCTGCTGTTCCTGCTGCTGTTACTGCTGCTGTTACTGCTGTTACTGCTGCTGTTACTGCTGTTACTGCTGCTGCTGTTACTGCTGCTGCTGTTACTCCTGCTGCTGTTACTGCTGCTGTTCCTGCTGCTGTTACTGCTGCTGTTACTACTGCTGCTGCTGTTACTGCTGCTGCTGTTACTACTGCTGCTGTTACTGCTGTTACTGCTGCTGTTACTGCTGCTGCTGTTACTCCTGCTGCTGTTACTGCTGCTGTTCCTGCTGCTGTTACTGCTGTTACTGCTGCTGTTACTGCTGCTGTTGCTGTTACTGCTGCTGCTGTTACTGTTACTGCTGCTGTTACTGTTACTGCTGCTGTTACTGTTACTGCTGCTGCTGTTACTGCTGTTACTGCTGCTGCTGTTACTGTTACTGCTGCTGCTGTTACTGCTGTTACTGCTGCTGTTACTGCTGCTGCTGATGTTACTGCTGCTGCTGATGTTACTGCTGCTGCTGATGTTACTGCTGCTGCTGATGTTACTGCTGCTGTTACTGCTGCTGTTGCTGTTACTGCTGCTGCTGTTACTGTTACTGCTGCTGTTACTGCTGCTGCTGGTACTGTTACTGCTGCTGTTACTGCTGCTGCTGTTACTACTGCTGCTGTTACTGCTGTTACTGCTGCTGTTACTGCTGTTACTCCTGTTACTGCTGCTGTGACAGTGACAGAGCTAACTGGGCCTCAGTG